TGCGGGGCCCCCCCCCCCATGCACTGCCACTCTCTCCCCCACGCCCCTCCACAGCCTGCTGGGGAAGTGGAAGAGTTTGGTCTGGCAGGGAAGGTCGGGGTTCCCCCCCCCTCCCAAATGCCCTGCCAGCGATAAAACTGACCTGATGCTGCAGCTGCACTGGGTTCTCCACGGCATTGGTGGGGTGTGGGGGGAGGCTGAGCTTTTCCCCTTCCCCCCCCCCAGAAACAAGAGCATGCTGCCTAGAGTCTTTCCCTGCTGCAGCAGGGTTCCAAGCCAGGTAAGTATCTCCTCCTCCCGCCAAGACCCCATACTCCCAGCATGCTCTGACACTCTACCCCAAGACCCCTCCTGGCCAGACACCCTGCCCCAAGCTGGAACAGGCAGCTGGGACTCTCAGATAACTGGAATTTTTAGATAACCGGAATGTCCTACTCCCCAAGCATGCCAGATAACCCAGGTTTTACTGTAAATTGGTTCTGGTCTACACATTTTAGGATTAGTTGAGCAAGTGTTTCTATATCAGATATGTTGCAAAGGAATTAAAATAGGCTCATAGCAGAAGCAATTCAGGTTTTCTGTTAACAAGGATACCTCTTCCAATTAAAACAAAAGAATTTGTGATGTACCTATCGCCCAAACAGCTGTATATGAGACTGAATGGAACAGGAAAATAACCTTTAAGGAAATGTGCCTTTTGAACATGTTGGTGATATTTATTCCAAGTTATAAGCCCATAAATTCTGTGACCATGCAATATATCTATTCTTGGTTAAACTCAAAATGTGTCTTCCAAAGCCTATTGAAGTAAATGGGAATACTTTTACTGATTTTAGAAGGCTGGGGTCAGACCCAGAGCATATACGAAGGACAAATTCACATGCATGAGTAGTTTAGGTATTTATTGAAAATTATACTGAAGGCACGCATAACTCAGTCCTTCATGACATTGGGAAAGGTGAAGGAGATTAAAGAAAGTTACTGCATAATGCTTTATGTGAATTAACAGATTAAAAAAAAGGCAAGAGAAACTATCACAACCTAGTGTAACTGTCACTTCTTCTGTGTCTAGGGCCCAAATTCATGGCTCATTTTGGTCAATTTCATTGTCTCAGATTTTAAATAAATTCCATTATTTCAGATATTTAAATTTTAATTGTAGAGATCCTTACTCAAAGAGCAGGGAATGTTCACAAGGTTACCGTAGGATGGTTACTGTAGAACTGTCTTAAGGGCTACACAACTGGCTAGCAGCTGCTATTCTCCAGTCCCCCAGTTCTGAAGGTCAGAATAACAATGGCAATACCAGAAGCATCCTACAATAAGTTGGGACCATCAGTCTGTGAAAGACTGAAATGTGTATATTATAGGGTAAAAGTACACAAAACTACAGGCAGTCCCCGGGTTACGTATAAGATAGGGACTGTAGGTTTGTTCTTAAGTTGAATCTGTATGTAAGTCAGAACTGTCGTCCAGATTCAGCCGCTGCTGAAACTGATCAGTTTCAACAGCGGCTGAA